ATCTGAAAATTCATGTCAAGTGGCTTAAATAATGGTCTGCTACTATTGCCACAAAAAAGCACTATAGCGATCTCGTACTGCAATCATATCTATGTCTAGTCATAATTTTCACTGAGTTTGGAAGAACTTTCTCCCAAGTAAGGTTGTACAACATTTCTTCATTAAATATGTGATATTGTTTAGTTTACAAAATGCTCTAGGGCTACTTCAACTGCTTTTGGGAATTCACCAATAATTTGGGTTCAACCTATCTTCAAGACCCCATCTCTTTCTGCAGGAGAGGCCCTCTTCTCAGTCCCACCTCCATCCCTAGAGAGGTTGGTGGATACAAGAGATTAGGCTGGCCCCCACTCTGCAAGCTTTCTGCACACAACTGAAGACGTGGTTGTTTCGACAAGCCTTTGACCACAGTTAGATGCCTTTAATAAATATGTGAGGACTCGTAGATTTCACCAAGCACTTTACATGACTAAGATAGACTATTGTTGTTTTATATCCACAGAACATTGCCGTATTTTATTGATGTTAACAAAGGGTTTTATGAACTGAGATATTTATGTTCGCAGTTACTGTTTTATGTTACTGTTTCTGCATTTTTTGTATTTTATGTGTTGCACCTTTGAGTGTCTTGTAAGCTACCTGAGTCCCTTTAGAAAATGATGGTGGGGTATAAATAAAGTTTTATTATTATTATTATTATTATTATTATTATTATTAATAATAATAATAATAATAATAACAACAACAGTGTCATGAAGTGTTTACAGCATGTGTTATTAAGAACATCAAACCAATAATTTATATGCTGTTTCTATGTTTCATATTCCTTTCAATTTCCTTTTAATTAAGTAGGTAATCTTTATTTGTGTTTTATGGTTAAGATATGCACTGGAAATACAGCCAAAGAAATAAACAATAGACCACAATGAGCTTGTAGAGCTGGATTAATCAATGCAATTCAGGGCAGATTATAATCTTTCCCTTGCCCTTCAGGCCCAAACCTGCTCTAAAAAGCTGAAAAAATCCATATACATGAAGGACTGCAAGGGAAGGGCTGCAAGATTAAGGTCTGCTGGGTATATATTTATTTATTTATTTATTTGCTTCACTTTTATACCGCATTTATTTATAAATATATATAATCATATATATATATGATTATATTTATTTATTTATTTATTTATTTATTTGCTTCACTTTTATACCGCATTTATTTATAAATATATATAATCATATATATTTGATTCTTATGCTTCAACTTTCTCTGCATTCTTTCTCTTGTTGTCTTTCTTAAGCTCTGCCTGCTGTACTTTGCCTTTCTGTAGGTCATCTAAGGTTTTGGTTCATTACTGGCACATTAAAGAGGTCACTACACAGTGCTAGGACATGAGAAAGGAGCTTTCCAGCTGTGGCACCCCAGTTATGGAATGCCCTACCACTGAAGGCCCTACTGGCATCAAGTTAAAACATATCTGTCCATCAAGTTTATTGAATCTCATCAATTCAATCCCAATAATATAATTTTTGTTGTTGTAAGCCATTTCCAACTTATAGTGACCCTAAGGTGTACCTGTGACATAATTTTCTTGGCATAATTTGTTCAGGACTGTTTGCAATTGCCTTCCTCTGAGGCTGAGAGAGTGTGACTTGCCCAAAGACATCCAATGGGTTTCCATGGCCAAGTGGGAATTCAAACCCAAGATTCTAGTCCAACACCCAAACTGCTACAAAACACTATTTCACTTAAATACTGTTATATGTAGCTTACATTTTATAAATCTTGTTATTTAAAAAGACATGATGTCGTTTAATATGTCAAACTATTTTGCTCTTTGACATGTTTTAATGCTATTTTAAGCCACCCTGAGATCTTCTGATATAAGGTGGATCATAAATCTTTTTAATAAATAAACATTTTAAAAAACCCAGAAAGTAGTAAACAAGTTGGACTTGTGTGGCAAAAAGCAAGGTTGTCCAAACAGGGTGTGAGTGATAGAGTAGGGAGAAATTATAAGAATGGTCAGGGTATAGGACTTGCACAAAAAATGTTCTGAAAGAGACTGCACTTTTTCCAGCCAGAGACTTACAACAGAAAGGAGTGCATCCATCATCAAGCCTCATTCCAGCAGACCTGAGCCAATCATTACAGCAACCTGTCTAGATTCAGCAGTGACAACAGGGGACCTCAAACTCTTTAAATTTTCATGGTCCTGCAGACTGTTGTGGAGACTGAGTATAGTTTGGGGGAAAAAAACCCACAAATTCCTATGCACACTGCACATATTTTATTTGTAACGCAAAAACCATGAAAGAACAATACAATATTTAAAATGAAGAACAATTTTAACTAACATAAACTTACTAGTACTGTATTTCAATGGGAAGCCTGCTTTGGGCTGATGGACTAATCAAGTTAATTAAGATCATTGTTTGTTGTGTGCCTTCAAGTCATTTTAGACTTTGGGCAACTCTAAGTCTAAAGTTTAGGGTGGGTGACAGGTAATTGCCTTGGAGGGCCACATCTGGCCCACTGACCTTAGTTGGGGGACTGCTGCATTTGAACATACAGGGGAAGCAATCCAACTTTGGGGATTGCTATGTGAAAACAAAAATACGGGCTAAGACAGAAAAGCTGGAGAAATGCTTTTCCCTGACAGGCATTATCTATCCTTATAAAGAATCCTCATGCAGTGCCAGTCCTGAGTGTCTTTCACACTTTGCTTAAAAGAAAGCAAGTAAAAACATCTGACCGTGTGAAATTCTTCAGCTATTAGCAAAAGATTCTTTCTAGACTGCCGACTCCAGCACGTTGTTAGCTCTTGCTGAACTCTTTTCATTTTTCCCAATGGGATTTAGTGTTATATAAATTCTGTTGTTACAAAGGGTGGGCCAAAAGCCACAAAGGCATCTGATGCTTTAATATCTTTTTTTATTTTTATACATTATGTAATATATTTTCATTTCCTATATATATTGTACATGATGCTATGACATTGCAAATTAAAAACTAAAAAATGAAAGCATTATTAGACATTGAACCCCCTTTGTGACTTTTGGCCGACTTTGTACTTGCTGTTTGAATATACTTATGTAATGAAAAATAATGGGGAGAGAAACTGGCAGAACTGGAGTGGGTGGGGGATGAAAATAACCAAACAGAAGCTTACATTATCATTTCAATGGGGAAGATTATTCTTTTTAAAAATGGACAAAAATGCAATTTTATTGTTTGCCCAGTACTGCATGTATGGAAAATAAGGGTTAAATTATGCATCGCAGTGGTAGATCTATTTGTTACATCTATTTATTTAAAAACAACCACCAGCCTCCTACCATTAAGAAAAGCGGTGTTTCTTTTTAAGGCAAACCATTGAGTATAGGTGAATAATGAAAAACCTTTCAATGCAACCAGTAGCTTATCTCCCAAGGACACTTCCCTGAGCTGAACTTCAATTCTAAAAGGGAATGCTTGGCTCTAGCAAAAACATTTGGTTTGTAGACTGAATGGAAAGAAAATAAATGGGACCAGATATGTTCTGCATTCCTTACCAGTTTCTGATTTCTACTAAAATTGGATTTCAAAGTTCTCTTTGTCTAAGTGAAGCAAAGAAGTTGTAATGCATAATGGATAGCAGCTGCAAAAGATGCCACATAATTTCCACATTGAAGTGGAGCTTGTTGATTGAACACAAATGAGAAAGCATGTGATGTGCTCTTCCATTCTAGATGCTTCAGACTAGTTTCCCAGATTCCTTGATGAGCTAACTGAACCCATAATTTATGGGGGAATGCAGTCACTACAACAATCACCCATTTCTTGATGTGAACTGCAATTAAACACCATAGCTTGTCTTATATATCTTGAACACAAGCATGAATGTTGGGCCACCAGTGCCAATTGGTAGAAATGAACATCTGACAATTATCAACACAAATGGCTATGTTCCTTATTGCCTTCACCATTTTGCAGTAGGAACTTACTTTCATTTGGGAGCTGAAACATACAAGCACAAAGCGCCATTGCCTATTTTTCCAAATCATTTCTTAAACTAGCAGTGATTTGTATGTTTACTAAAAAATATGGACTTCCTGACACTGCCATCACCTGTGGAGGAAGAAAAGATTTAACACAACAAAGTGCTCCCTCTCATAGCATAAGTGGAGCTGGGAAACACTCTATGGCTATGAACATTTCCAAATTCTATGGGGTATAACTACAGGGTCAAGATAAAATAATTGCTCTCTAATCAAAATGCCTTATTTCCCATTATATTTTCCTTTAATCTCCAAAATTTCTAGCATTGTAGAAACTTAAAGCTTCCATTGAGCATTTATAAAGACAGTTTAAGCATCCAAAGAATGAGGCCAAGCAAAGTTCTCAATGGAAAGTAAACACAAGTAAACAGCTTCTGGATGTGAATGGTTTTCAGTGTCTCAATCTCTGCAAAACTAGAGTTTTTGAAACTGAAGGGAAATGTAGTTGGAATAGAATAGAGGGCAATGTTCTCAAATTGCACCCCATGTAGCTTATGCTCAAGGGACTCCCCTCCCTATCCCACAAATATCGGGTTTTTTCTATGGGGCTTAAGTAGAAGAAAGGATAGCATATGATGTACATTGAAGCATAGTCCCTCATTTACAAGTTATATCCCCTCTCCATTTCTCCTGCAAGCTGTTCTCTTTGTAGAGCCAATTCCTAGTCAGTCCTGAGGAATTAGTTATGGTTCTAAGAAGTCAAGAGCTATTCCTTTATACTTTGTTACTTTTTTGTTCTTTTTGGCACTTGCCATTTACACAGAGTGCATTACTGTTTTCAAATGCTTATCATTAATTTCCTACTCAAAGTTCCTAGATTCCAAAATATGGCAGCAGAAATAGGTAACTTTGTGTCATATAGCTTGAAACACATTGTGTATATTCTTTTTGAACTCTTTTTATGGCCATAAGATGCATAAATCCAATTACAAAAGTATCTGATTACAAAAGTATCAGACTAGTACCATTCCAGGTGCCACTGAAGTGCAGTTCCAAGCACTGATAAGAAATGATGAGGAAGTTTCTGTCCAAAAACATCTGAAGTACTACAATTTCCTCCTCCTTGGTTGTAGTATCACCTTTCTCACTGGAAAAAAAAATGTTAGAACACTAATGATCATCCCTTCATTACTGTTATGAAATTCAATATCTAATATGCTTAAATACGGAGTTCTGAAAATACGGATTTTTACTGGTTATTTAAAAATAATAATAACTGGTAATGAAGTGCTCAATATATGGAAAAAAATAGTTCTCAAAGGTGCTTTTCTCACCCTTGTGCAGCATATTTCATTTTCCTTCCCTCCAGATCTGGATGTGATGCTGGAACATCCCTTTCAATAGCCTACGATTATGAAGAAAAGATCGGCAGTTTATCATTCTGAGGGGAGATGCTAAAGAGTGCAATGCTCTTTAAAGGCCAGAAACAAATCATGGATGAAAACAAATGCACATTTTTTCTGCCAGATACAGCATCCACTTATTAATGTCTGCTTGATTAATATCAGCCAAGAAAGAACAACAAGGAATCTTTCTGAAATTACTGGCCTTTGAGCATGTCAGGCTAATGTTAATGAATCATGTCTCTGCATAGTATTTATCAGATTTAAATGAGTCAGTAGCATGGTCAACATGTTCTACATAACCTTTTTAAAAGCTTTCATATAAATTGCTTCAAATATAGGATTAAGCTATTAACAATAAGAAATTATTGTGCCATGCATCTGCAGAGATGTATGGAAGTAGTTGAGCTGAGATAACATTAAAAAGCTGTTCTGCTGTTTTCAATGTACAACTAGAGTGTCCTTTATCCAATGTTTTGAATTTCAGAAATTTTGGAGATTCCAGAATACCTGTATTTTGGCATCCTGGACAAGGGATGCTCACCTTGTATGATAATGTCATTTCATCAATATTATATGATTATGAACTTGTCATACAATGAAGTAATAAATCTTTCTCCTTTGTATTGCAGTCTCAAGAGTGTACAAGTTGTGGTCTCTTAGATGGTGTCAGCCTGCAGCATTAACCATATGAACCAGTGGAGAGATATGAAAGATGGTAAGCCAACAAATATTTTAACATGCATAAATTGTCTAAACTTAGACAGGTATCTGTGACTATGGTGGGTCTTCCGTAGGCGCTCATATTTGGTTCAAGTTTCATTAGATGCAATAATGTAATAAAAAGCCATCCCTTATACAAAATGATGAGCAATTCAAAAGAGTGCTGGAAAGAGCCTGAGGATCTGTGGAAGGGTGGAAGATTACAGCAGGGTATGCCTACACATCAGTGTGCTGCCTGGTGCAAAGCAAAAATAAGATTTGTTTTGGGGATTTAAAAAAATCTCAGCAGTTCCCGTGGATATTGAGGACCAATTGTATTGGCTAAAGGACCACTCTATGAATCTGTTTTTACTGAGGACCTCATCGCATAAATGATGGGGTTCACCACACATTGTGGCAAATCCGTTGGGGCCCAATTTGGGGGGGGGCTGAGGGAACATGTTGCCCCATGCCCTGCATCGCCCAACTTAATTACCCCAACCCATGGGGAAAAGCATCTGGCTTCCCCCCCCATTGTTGCCAATGCAACATGGGAAGCTTTTCATGTTGGAGCGGCAGCATACGATGCTTCCTCTTTACTTTTCCCACAGAGTCCCGCTGGAAGTAGTTTGATGTTGTGGGATGGGAACCGGCAGGCTCTGTGGCACAAGTGAAGTAGGACTGTGTATACCACCAAATGTAGCCTGTCTTATGAGGTCGAATGACAGAATGAGTAGCTATCGGCTGACATGACTCCCATTTTTCAGCATGGAGTCTGTAGTGGAAAACTGATTTCCTAAAGCAGCAAGCACAACATGTAGCTTGCGAGCCACCTTCAGATCACACAAGCCATTGCTGCAACCTGCAGAGCACCCCACCATTACCTCAGCACACAGGGCTTCTTCCTCCAATCTCCCCATTCCCTCACTGTTGCCACCTCTGGCATCAAGCAGAGAGGGGGGGCATGCTGCTCTTCCTCCAACTCTCCATCCTCCCCCTTTAAAAAAAGCCTGGGGTGAGGGCAAGGGGCACCTGCAACAGAAAAAAAGTGCTGGGCTAGGGAGAAAGAGGCAGCATCCAGCATCCGGCTGGCCAGAACATCTGCCTTCCGTCACTGCTCCTGATCCTCTTTATTTTTTAAAAAAATGAAAAAACCCCAGAAATAACATCCGAAGCTGATGAGGTGATGGTGCCAACCTGAGGTGAAGCTGCAAGGACTCTCCTGCCTTTGCCCTCCCTGGTTTGTGGAAGGATTGAAGGAGGTGAAAGAAAGAAAATGGAGGTGGGGGGGGGGGCGAAAGAAAAGGAGGGAGAGAGGGTGGGAAAAGAGAAGGAAGAAGAAAGGAGGGAGAAAGAAAAAAGAAAGAGAAGAAAAAGAGAAGGAAGGAATAAAAAAGGAAGGGAAGGAGAGAAAGAAAGAAGGAAGGAAAGAGAGAGAGGGAGGGAGGGTGGTGGGATGTCATAAGCAAGGCCATTTCACCCCTCTGGAGTGAGTCTAATGTCTTTCACCCCATCACATCTTCCTGTCCTTCCTTCTCTTCCGCCACTTTTGCCTTTGCTCAGTGCCTTTCCGTCAAAATTCTTTCTGGTTTCACCAGTAATCACAGATGGTTTCATTCCAAGGCAGCACAAGTTGTCAAATGAGGTTTTTTTTTTTTTTTCAGAATTCAGAAAGCTTTAATCCTAAACATGGGGAGTCAGCATGGTGCAGTGATTTGAACCTCAGACTATGGCTCTGAACCTACTAATTCTGGGTAAGTCACACTCTCTCAGCCTCAAAGGAAGACAAAGGCAAATCCCCTCTGAATAAATCTTGCCAAGAAAAAACTGTAATAGGGTCACTTTACGGACGGAAACAACTTGAAACTCACACAATAACAACAATTCTAGTTATTAATCTTTAATTATACCTTACTTGGAAAATGGGGGTGCTAAAACCTATTTGTGACCCCAAGAAGTTTAGTTTGTTTAATTTCGGCCCCTTACTATTGCTAAGTTGTGCAGGCCTGTCCTACAGTTTAAAATGGAGTAAAGCATACTTTACAACTGCCACCAGTTTTCATTTTTGAACCATGTTTAAACTTAAATAAAAAACAAAAAATGAAAAAGATTTATTCAGCAACAATAATGCATTCTCTAAATAAGAGGGCATGTAATAGTGTCATTCTGTGAAATTCCCAAAACTCTAGTTTTGTGCTTAAAGGAGGAGAATGAGAATTCATATTTTCACCCTATATTTCCATCAACGATCCAGGCCTTTGCTAATGTACATGAGAAAATACCAAGAGAAAAGAAGTCAGGTCTGTATTGCTCCACTTTTAATTCAATTATGGTATTTTAATAAAAAAATTACACATTTCCTTAATTATTTGAAGGAAAGATAACAAATAAATCTGAATACAATGTTCTACCAACATGTTCTGTCCCTACCCCTCACTGACAGTGTGTTAGTTTCTAACAGTTGTTTTTTTTTTCTATTTTAAAATATGATCTGCAGTTTACTGCATTGTAGCAATAAGACAATTTGTGTCACCCTGTAAGTGGTAATAGTACTATTACACAAAGATCTGGATGACAGATGGGCTGCTTTCAGATAGACTGATCTTCCAAATGCAGTTTTAAGGAGACAGTGTTCCTACATTGGGGCACCTGAACTCCCATTTGTTAAAAGTTAGCAATACTCAACAGAAAAACACATAATGTATTTGAAAAATGTAAATAATTTTTCAATCTATTCTTGTGTTTCTGTAGGATGTGTTCTTATTGAGAAGTTGACTCCACACTGTACTATTCTACAGATTAGAATTCCACTGCAGCTTATAAGGTGTTTTTGGAGCAGAGAAATAGCAAGTGGGAAGAGAACTAACAAGAGCCATCCTTCCACATTTGTGGTTTTGATTATTCATGGATTTGTTTTAAAGTGTTCTCTCTAGGAATCTCTTGGTCCTCCACATGTGAACACAAAATTGTCCATGGGTCCATGGGTCCTAGTGGTGACAGATGAAGGCTATACCGGCTCTCCACACTCAAATATGTTGGACTGTAACAAAGGAAGGGTGCATAGATGAGCTACAACTAGGACAAGCCCTATAAACTCAAATCCATTAGAGTCAAATGGATTACAAAGCTATCTCTTGTACCAGCTCTGAATTTGCCCAGAAGTCAGCCACTATTAACGTCTCCCTAATCAAACTTCATGACTCATGCTCTTTGCTTACATAGTTTTCTAGATTGCAGTTCCTGAATCTCTCATGCAGAACTCTCCTGAGTAGAAAAGGCTATGAAGTACAAGCATATTCATAAGCAAACAATAATTTCATATTTTGTCTTTCATTTCTCTAACTACTTTGCTTTTAAGTTGATGAGAAACAGTGGTAATTCTATGTGTAAATTTTCTGTTGCAGGAGACTCTGCATATTACCTAAAGTACCAAAAGTACCCCAAATTAAAAAGAACAGCAATTTCAGTTTCTGATTTTGAAAATGAGTGGTAGTGGTAGTGGGAGGGGGGGAGGGTGTTAAATAGGCTGACTGCATCATTTTTTCAAGGTCCATCCTGGAAACCTCCAGGAGATGTAATCTGGCTTTTTTTTGCCAGAAAGGGATCATATCAATAGAGTGTGAAGGGACTATGGGCCACTAAAACATTCCTAGGAAAAACACAACTTGCACATCAATAATTTAAATTATAATCTAAAAAAGAAAATCCATTTTTTCAGCAACCTGAAGTATAAAAATTAGTGGTTAACTCCTCCTCAATCCAAAAAACAAATAAGGATAGTCTGATGTCGCCCACCCCAGCTGTGCGTTTTATTGAAAATGAAAATTATGAAGGCTCTCAATTGCTTGCATTTGCATGAGCTACAGCCTTTGTTAGTTCAACAACAGCAGTGTATTAAGTACTACACATATTATGGATGGGTTGGTACAGAAGTACAGCTGCAGTGTTTTGATTTTTACTCTTTTAAAAAATTGAGATCTGTGTTCCAGTCCTGGAATAAAAGAGTTTGCAAAACTGATGGAGTGAAACAGAGAGTGAAGGCATGAAACAGAGATTAACCACTCACAAAATGTGAGATATTGCTGCTATGAGCAGAAGTGATCTTGATTATGCATTTCCTTAAAGTCCTGTTAAACTCCATTCTAGAATAGCTAAGCTGGTAAATGTTCCCATTTATAATGGAAGAGCTTTAAAATAGGAAGAAAGTTTTGAATGGTGAAGACTAGTATCTTCTGGCCCAACTTACCTATCCGAACGTATCTCGGCCTATCAGCCCACCAGGACCCTAAGATCGTCTGGG